TCGGGGCAAATAAAAGCTCATCTTGTGGGGTGATTACACACGATCTTGGAGCGCAGTTCTTTAGACTTGTTTCCATCTTCACATACGCGCAACCAATCCTTAGCATATTTTTATATTAGGATCATTTTTGAGATGATTGTAATCTTCCATTGACAGCTTTTCCTGAAGTCTTGAGATCCTATTCTACTAATGTTACAGGGATTGGAGAAGGCCATCTCTCCACCTCTTGGAAATTTAATTTGTAGAGAGTTCAAATCTACCATTTGTCTATTTTGGAGGTGAGTATACTACAATGGAAATTACCTTACCTCTATCTTTATTACAAAGTTTGAAAATAATTTTTGAATAAAGGAAGTGAATGATACATTTCATCATGATATATGTATAAAAAGAAAATCTATAAATTTATTGAGGCCAAGGGTTGAGTTTTAATAAATACGATTTTATTTGTATAATGAAGCATTAATTTTTTATGAGAATTATTTAAGTTGAGTCTTTCAAATTTTATGATGATGATGATTGAATGACAGTGAAATGTTATGTGAGGGTATTATTTTATTGATCATATAAACCGAATATAGCCTTTGGGGCCACAAAGGCCAAAATGCTTTGGGGTCCTGGGGACCGAAGTTTTTAAGGACCATAAGGGTCGTTGTATGTATAAGGGGTCCTGGGGACCGAAACATTGAAACAAGAATTGAAGTGCTACGATGACATGAGCTATGCTCCTATGGTTATGTTCTGGGTAACGGTACCGTCACCACCTAAGTCGCGAGGTAACGCGACCCTAGGCTATGTAGTGGATTGTATGATGGACAGGAAAATCTTAATGTATGAAAAGTTATATTTTTGTTTACTTTCATTATCCAAATGTATGTTTTTTTCTGCCTTATGAGATTCCTTGGAAAAATCCTGATAACGTTTTATGAAAATTGTATTGCATCATTTTATTTTTATTTTTTATAAATTGAAGTCCAATTAAGCTCTTATGTTTAGTATCTTTATTTTGAACCCTATTGGTAGGAGCAAGTTTTATAACTCCATGGTATTGGTATACTCATTGGGCTTTAGCTCATTCTTTTAAATAATTTTTTTCAGATTCATAGACTTTGTGTTGGCTCGCCTCAACTTGGAAGACTAGATTTTTTGAAGGATCACAGGTGGGCATTTGTGGTTGAGGTTTTGCTTAGGGTCATTCTAGGATGTAAGCTTACCCTTTTTTTATGAAGGAGGTTAGTTGTAAAAATTGCTATGAAGTTGGATGTATTGATGGATTCTGTTTAGTATGTATTATATTTTTTTTTTGGGAGGAAATTGCTTGGGAATATCTTGTAGCATGATAATATTTTTTTGTCTTTGAATAGATCATCTCATATATGTTAGGCAATTGAAAGGTGCTATAGCGTTTGAGGTGCACCCTCTTGGCAGGGTTTTGCCTTGCCAAGATTGGGTCGTTACAGTGGGGCATCAGTGCTGGTTTGGTTTGCTGCTGTCTGTTGCTCTGCCTTTATTTTTTGGCTATTTTGTTCTGGTTTTGCTCTGCTGTCTGCTTGTCTGTCTCTGGTTTGTGGTGCATCAGTGCTGTTCTGGTTTGTTGTGCATCAGTGCTGGTCTGTCGAAGTACATCACTGCCTGTTGTTCTACTTTGGTTAGGGACTGCTTCTACTGTAAGTTTGATCTGCTCTGCCCAGTGCAATGTATAACTTCGGTGGATTGGATGAATTGGTGATAGTCAGTGGTTCTGTTCCTCACGGTAAGTTTGATCTGCTGGGGTGAATTGGTGATGTCAGTGGTTTTGTTCCTTACGGTCAAGATGCTGAATGGTTGTGTTATTCTGAATGGTTGTGTTATTCGGTTATTCTGATGTCAGTAGTCAGTGTATAACTGCAGTGTTATAGATGCTGTCCAGGTTTATCAATTCAGTGGATTGGTGATGGCTTGGGTGAATTGGCGATGTCAGTGGTTTGTTCCTTAAGCCTCATTTGTAAGTAGTGTGGATTGGTGATGGCTTGGGTGAAGTTTATTTATTCTGTTATGCTCCTCTTCTGCTTATTTTTGTTTTGGTTTGCTGTTGGTTTCTCACCAACTGGCGCTTGGAGCTTCAGTTAGCTCCAAGCTCCTCTTTATTGATGTCCTGTATACTTTTTGCATACCTTCATCAATAAAGATTTTCTTTGCCGATCAAAAAAAAAATAAAAATAAATGTACTAACAGACAATGGCCGACCAAATTTAGTTGCTAAACAACGGTGATATTTTTATGGTTACTTGTTGGCAACCAAATAATTTTGTTGGAAAATGTTAAGTTTTAGCGACCAAAAAAAAATTAGTCGTTGTATATTCATTTTTTCCGATAAAAAAAAATTTGTTGCCCAATTAGTACTTTTGGCGACTGATATTGTAGTCGCTGTTGATTGAGATTTGACTACCAAAAAATTTAGTCGTTACATATAAAGATTTTGCGACAAAAAATGAATTTAGTCGCTAAAGGTGAAATGTTTTTAGAGGGAAATCACTCAATACTTTGTTCAAACCTGTTCTCTATTTGCACCCAACAATTTGTTCAAACCTCTCACACATTCTCCTTCACCACCAAACCTCACCCAACTTCACCTCACCGCAGACCACCGCCACCGGCGCAGATCGCCACAGCCACAGATCGCCACTGTCGTCGATGATCTTCCTCCGTCCTCCGCTGGTGCCTCTCTCTCTCTCTCTCTCTCTCTCTCTCTCCTAAACACCCACTGCCATCGATGATCCTCCTCCTTCTCCTCCGCTGGTGCCTCCGCCGGATCCGAGAAGATCGTCGAGATCTGAATTAGATTTGAGTCCCAGGCCAAGGTCTGACCGTCGTGAGCGATCCACACATATCTATCGGCGGCAGTGAAGACGGAGAGACCATGCCTAACGGTTGAGATCTGAATCAGAATTCGATTTCGCGATCTAAAAATCTCTTAAGCACTCAGATGTCTGTGATTTCTGCTCCAATCAACACCTATTTTTAAGATCTGAGTCAGATTCGATGGCGGTGAAGAATGCTGGGATTCGGTAAGAAACGGAACCATTGTCATAAACATAGCACTTCATTTTTCTTCGAAATTCCCACACCACTGTTCTTATCTGATTCTCATTCCTCTTTCAATTTTTTCTGAAATCTGATTTTGCACTTTGCTTTTTCAGCTGATAAAACCACGATTTCGACAAAGAAGAACAAGTTAGTCTTCCTACTCTTTGTTTTCTTTCTTTTTTTTTCCCACTCTGTTTATGTCGAAATGCCCAATGCTAGATTGTTCAGTTTAACATTATAAATCTTTGGTAAAAAAATGCATAGGTGTTCAATCAATCATCAGCGGGAAAAAAGGGGCTTCATTTGAGTTGGGTTTATCAGATCATCATCATCATCATTATCATCTTCATCTTCTGCATCTAAAAAGAGAGAAAAATCAAGTATGTGTTGGTGACAGGCGGCGTAGTTAGCGGTCTTGGGAAAGGTGTGACTGCCAGTAGCTTTGGTGTCATTCTCAAGGCTTGTTGGGCTTCATGTTACTTCTATTAAGATTGTTCAGTTTAGTCTTTTTGCTCCTTGAATGTGGTTTTTTTGAAAAAAAAAATTAGCTCTTTTACACTATTGTTACTTTGAGTTATGTACAGAACTTAGCTGGGAAATTTAGGTTTTCTTCTTGTTGGTAATGTCTTTGAAAGAAGCCTACTTTTGTTTCAACCACCCTTGTGAAATGTTCACGATGTTCTGTCTTTTTACTAGTGCTTCCATTTTTGTTTAATTACAAAACCCAATTTGAGAAAACAACAAGTAGTTATTGCTTACTCACAATTTGCTCTTTCATTCAGATCCTTACTTGAACATTGATGCGGGAACAATGTCCCCTTTTGAGCATAGGCAAGTGTTTTTGTTTGTAATGTCTTTGAAAGAAGCCTACTTTTGTTTCAACCACCCTTGTGAAATGTTCACGATGTTCTGTCTTTTTACTAGTGCTTCCATTTTTGTTTAATTACAAAACCCAATTTGAGAAAACAACAAGTAGTTACTGCTTACTCACAATTTGCTCTTTCATTCAGATCCTTACTTGAACACTAATGCGGGAACAATGTCCCCTTTTGAGCATAGGCAAGTGTTTGTTCTAGATGATGGTGGAGAGGTAAAATAGGTACCCTCTATATTACTCTTGTGTATCCACTTTTTAATATATTTTTATTGTAATTTCTTATGTTTAGTGGGTCGGGTTATTGTTTTCTTGCTATTGCTGGAAGTTCAGACCACTTGAGTTCTCAGTAGGAAGATTTGGTAATTTGAGTTGTCAATTCTATGATATACTGGAAGTTGGGTCACTTTGGTTGTGTTGCATTATTAATTAGTTACTAAGGATCTGCTATGAAATTTGAGTTATTTTATGTCATTACTCTTGATAATATTGGATCAAAGATTTAACTTATACGCACAAAATTTTCCTTGTCTTTATGAATTTCTCCTAAAATTCCATATCCAAATACATTGGAAGTATTATGGTGAGTATGTGATATATGGCAGCTCATAAGTCATGACAAAAATCAAGAATATGTGTGTGTGTATATATATATATATATAGAGAGAGAGAGAGAGAGAGAGAGAGAAGTATGTGCATAAACGGGTAGATGTGTATGTACATGACATTAAATCATTGTAGTAATTAATATCTGCAGCATCAGTTTTTATAAAATAATTTAATTTATTATTATTTTTTAAAGAAGGAATAAAATGTACTGCAGTAGTAGAGGAGAGGAGAAGCAAAAATAGATCCATGGATTGAATGTCTACTCTTCATCTCCGGCTTGTAGCTGTCCCCTAACAGCACAATGATTTAATCATTTTAATGATCTTTTTTTCTTCCTAATTAGTTCTTGAAATGTTGGAACTTTTCCATTTAATTGTTTTTGTTGTTTGGCTTTTCTCGTAACAGATCCATATGCTTGCACTATCTCCTAAGACCCTAATGGCAACAAACCAGTTCATTTGTGAGGTATGCAACAAAGGTTTCCAAAGGGACTGCGGTACTCTCTTTTCAAGGTAATCACCTATTCATTCTTTTCATTTACCTGATATCATATGCACAATGGACCATCCATTATCATATATATATATATATATAATGCCCATTCATGATTTACAAAGAAATCAATGGAAAAAATTGGTTTTGTTTTTGGTTTTGAGAGAGCAATCTTTTTAAGAGCCTGCCTGTGAATCATCTCCTTCCTCCTCAATCCTTTAGGGAGTTCTGTATCCGTGTGAGAAAAGGCCATGGAAAAATCTCTCTCCTGTACTTGATTATTCTACTCCCTTCCCTTGCAATTCTCTCTCTTTGAGGGAACTGCATAGCAATGCTTGAGAAATATTTTATAATGGCATGGTATAAGAATAATAGGGTAATAATAAAATCTATGTAAAATAATTTGAAAAACTGGTACTCATTCATTTAAAACCAATATATCTTGATTTGTTATTTCAAAATATTACTACCATTTAACAGGAAAAGGAAAAGGAGAAAAAAAATGGAAGAAACAGAAGAAAAAAAAAATTGTAATTCAAATATCCTCCTTGAAAACACCACCATTCATCTTTTGCTATTCACGTGCAGTGGATACAATGTGAGGAAGGACGGATATTCATTTTTTTTTATTATTATTATTATTTTTGTTGTTATTGTTGTTGTTGTTGTTGTTGTTGTTGTATGTATACTGTGAGAATTGGAATTCCTCATCATGGAATTTTATGATCTGTGACGGAGGGAATATGTTCATGGGAATAAATAGCCTTTTTTCACTTTTTCACAATTTCATCCTTGTATTCTCTGTATCCTTCATTTGCAAGTCTGAAAATGGTGTCAACATATACCCTCTGGTTGGAAAGTGGGTTGAGGCGCCAATTGGAAACAACCTAAGAGTTAATTGAACTCAACTGTACTGTACAGTAGACTAGAGGACTAATGGAGGTGATTAATATATCATCATGATATAATCATGCAGTTTTATTTTCATGATTAATATATCATGGAACAAATGGTGTGAAGTGAGAAAAATAGTGGTCTTTTGACACTAAAAAAAATGTGAGAAAAAGGTGAAAAAGGGCCGTTTGGGGGCGAAAATTCAAAATAGTCCCCAAACAGCACCAAGATCATAACAGTCACCTCGGCCTAGATGAAACAAACTTGTGAGAGCAAGCGGCGCACTAATAAGACACACGGTTAGAGATTTAGACAAAAACAAGTGCTGTAAACTGCAAGGTATAGTAGCTAACTTGCTAGATCAAATATTCACTTATATATATATGCTGTCTAGTTATTGCAATATGAGATATAAAATCCAAATGTAAGCATTGATTGATAACATCTGTTTCAATTAGTAGAATTATTATATTGATAGAATTTAATCTGTGAGTCATACATCTATTACTTATGGAATTTTTCTGAGTGTAGTGCATTGATATTGCTAGCATTTTAATATTGATTGAATGTATACATATAAATGTTGAATTATTTACAAAATGGTGTTGATAGTCTTTTAATTTGTTCATGTTATCTTTACTTTCCATGGATCATTTTCAATTTTTGTTCAATTTTACAATCCGAGTGATGTGCAAATATTTTCATATAAAAATTACTTAACATTATTTTTTTTTTCTTTTGTACAGATGAACTCGAGCACGAAGCTGAATTGTACAGGACTAGTTGGCGCTTGTTACATTTTTTGAAGGATTATATATTTTTGAATAGATGTATATGGAAAATATTTGGGTAGACTACTAGTTATATTTTTGGATAGATGCGTATGGATAAAAATTTAAAACATAATAACAACTACTTGTTATGTTTTAAATTTTTATACTATATGTGAATTGGATAATTATATAGATTACATGACATATTTAATTGCACGATTATGTAGTTGGGAATTACTTGTGAATGAAAACTTATAATAGTTGATTTTAATTAAACACGTTAATTTTTGACTGATTTATGTATTTTGTTGAATGTTCATGATTCAGTTGATTTTGTTGGTTTGAATGATTCTTGCAAATTACAAGTTATATTGAATGGTTTCGATTGATTATTATATATCATATAGGTAAAATGGAATTCTTTTTATATTTTAGTTGTATTTTGATAAACAAAAAGAATTGATTTGGCTACCAAAATTTGGTTTGGTTTTTTCTCTTTTGGCAATCAAGTGATTAGTCAGTGTTTCACCATTCACATTTAGCAACGAAAATGTTGGTAGATGAAAGGGTACATTTGGCGACTAAATAATTAGTCGGTAAAATTATTAATTTTGACAACTAAAATATTTGGTTGCAAATAGGTCTATTGCCGACTAAAGTTTTAGTCGTGTAAACATTACTTTTGGTGACTAACCATTTTGGTCGGGAAATGTGACAATTGACGACTGACATATTTAGTCGGGAAAATATCACTTTTGACAACTAAAGTCTTTTAGCTACAAAATGAATTAGTCGCGATAATTGTATATTTAGCGATCAAAAATTTAATCGGCAAATAGAATTTTTTCTCGACTAAAAAACTTTTTAGTCGCTAATTACTTTTCGTGACCCTCAATTGGCGACTAAAGTGGCGACCAAAAAAATTAGTCGTGGATCACTTTTGCTAACTAAAAATAAACTTTTGTTGACTAAATTTTTAATCAGCAAAAGTACAAATTCCTGTAGTGAAAGTAGACGGCGAGATTAAAAATAGTACGCGGTGAGATTAAAAAATGGTAGTCACAAAGTTAATTCACCAGACCATTCCTTCTCTTCCTTGACAGTTTCACATCTACTCAAAGCAAGCATTACACTTCATGGCATACCATGAAACACATATCTATGAATGTAACATGAAGGCAATATTTGCTTAAGAGGATTTTTTTATTGGTAATTTTTAAAATTTTTTTTTTATTGATGTATCAAACAGCAAAAAAACAGTGAAGAAGGGATACAACAACAAAACAAGGATGCTATTTAGGTTAAAAATTAGATTTATTTTATAAATTTAATGATGTGACATTTTATTAAAATATCTAAATCAATTTTCTTCCTCGTTTATTATTTAATTATCAATCAATTATTTTATTCACACATCACTAGATTTAGAAAATAAGTCTATAAAGTGAGTTTATATATCATTTTTCTTTTGATTAATTACAGATGAATGAAAATAATGCTATAATGTTCTCTATTCATTACAAAGAGTTACGGTGAATTAATCACATAAATAATAATTTAATATTAAAATACATGTGCATAAGAATATGCACCAATATATGATAATTTTATTTTATTATTAGAGGACATTTGGGTAATTTTATTTATAAACTGTTAGTAACCAATTAGGCCTAATTTAATTAGCTAGTATGACTTTTCTAAAGGCTTAATCCCAAGAAGGATGTCATTTCAACTCTCCTAAGGAGGAGTTAAATTAGGAAAATGTTTGAGGGCCACAAAATCAGTAGTTCAAATGGCCCAAAACGATGTCGTTTTGCGTCGTTTTGTGCCCAAAATGACGTCGTTTTGGCAATTTTGAGCCATTTGAGCCACTGATTTTATGACCCTCTAGCATTGCTGGTTAAATTAGGAGGCAAATTAGAAAGCATGTACTTGGTGTCGATAAAAAAGAAATTGTTATGTTAGTTGTTAGAAAAAATTTAACAATTAAATATTTATAATTTTCAGAATGTGATATATTTTAAACAAATTTTAGAAATTTACATTTTAAACAAATTTCATGTCTCATTGACATTTAGCTGCCTTTTCGCCCGTAACATATAATATTTGTGAAAATTATTCAAGTTCTTGGATTAAAGGTATAAAAAGAAAATTATGCCAAAAGCAAGTCATAAAAATAATTGTTATAGAGTAACGTTAGAGATACTAAATTTTCTATTAAATAAATGATCAAATGTCTTACATGGGTGTGGGTCCACAAAAGTGTGGGAGTCTATGTGAGACATTTGATCATTTATTTAGTAAAAAACTTTGGGCTATAACATTTTTTATTGTTATAATCAAAGAAACATATTTTCATAGTATTAAGTAGTTGTTTGGGATGTGGCTATATAAATGCACTTTTTGACTTTTTGGTTAAAAAATTAAAGAAAAAAAAAAGATGTATGTTTGGAATAACTTTTTAACTTTTTAAGAAAAGTTGTGTAATAAAATATTATAGTAAAATCAAATTAACAATTTTCCCCCCTTTTGACTTTTTGACTTTAATTTTTTGACTTTTTGGATAGTTGAATTCAAAGGGCAAAATAATAGTTTTGTCCTAGTGGCTTCCTCCACAAGCTACTCTTAAATGTTATAGACTTTTTAACTTTTTTAAGTAACATTTTGACATTTTTAATTTATCTCAAACAAGGCTTAAATAACAATTAATACCGAAGTAAACATTTAAAACATCTACTTTCTAATTACACAACGATCATGTTGTACAACTTTTTTATTTCAGACTCATAGAGTTCTCTCTGTCGCGTACAACTTTTTTGGTCTGCAGGTAGAAGAAAGGGTGTTAGAAGTTAAAAAAGCTACCAAGGTCAGATGCATCAGATTTGAGCAGAGCAGGAGAGAACCCCATTCCATTAGCAGACCTCCTGAATCTATCAGTTTCAGGGCTGAAGTTCCATATTCAGGCCAAAGATCATTCGCTGAAGTATTGAAAGAGGTCACACCCACTGGGGCTAGGAAAGAAAGCATGCCCATAAAAGCCTATGAAGAGTATCTTGGATGGCTCCATGATAGTGTAATAGTCAGATTTAATTATGAACTCTCTACTACTAACATTGGAAATGCCTTGAAGGAGAAATGGTTGGATCATGTAATGATCATAAAAGGGGGTGGTCGAGATATAGTTCTAACATTCAAATCTCAAGAGGAGCTGAAATTAGATATTTGCAATATCAAAGAATGGTTTAAGGAATGGAGTCAGTTTGTGATGGAATGGAAGCCAAGAATTTATCTTGAATGAGAAAGATGTGTGTGGTTGAGGTGTTATGGCATTTCCTTAAATCTTTGGAATAGAGGTACACTCAACAACATTGGAAACATGTGGGGTACTATCCTTAGTGTGGATGGTGATATTTGTCAACCTAAGTCCTTCCACACTAGAATTAGAGTGGCTACATCTTGTATGGTGTTTATTAACAAAACTATGGGCTCGTTTGGTTTGATTTTCTGAAAAAAATTTGGGAAATTTTCTCTACAAATAAGTTTTCACACTACTACAAATATAGATAAAGATCACACTTTTTTGGTGTGATGTATGTTTTTTAATCACACCTTTTAAGTTTTATTAAAGTGTGGAAATCTGTGGCAGTGTTGTGGAAGAACAAGTTCAGAGGAGTGTTCTAGGAAGAAGGAGGCAGACCATGTGATAGAGGTAAACACAGTTGTTGAGGAGTCAAAGTGGGATGAAAGAGGAAGTATGTACCAAGGAGGTAGATCAGAGGTCTGGGTCTAATGATTGTCATTTGGATGAGGAGGTAAACTCAGTTGTTGAGGAGACCATGTTGGAGGAGTTAGTACACAGTCCAAATGTTATTGTTGAGCAAGTATCTACTCCTGATTTTATTAAAAGCTTTAGTAGATCTCGTGATGGAAGTGGGTTTGGTATCAATTTTGAAGTGGATTTGGTACAAGCTCTTAGTAAGAATCTAAATAGGAAGGGTCTTCTGAGCCTCAATCAACCTGGCTTAGTTAGGCAACCTGCTTCTGTCCCAAAACTCCTGCGAAATGAGAAGAGGAAAAGAAAGAAGAAGGTTCAATTTGAGGGGTTCACCGGATTTGCTAGACTTCATGGGCAGCAAGCTGCAGCAGTCAGCAAGCGCACTTCTAGGTCTATCATTTTCAGACCAGCAGCAGTTGCGATTGCACATTCAGATTTGTCTGAGAGTGTTACTAGTTCGAACAATCTTCTCCTCAATGAAGCTAAAGCCACTATTCAATTAGGTAAATCTCTTGGCATCAATTTCAATGGGAAAGAAGATGATGTGCTAAATAAGATTATTGAGCTAGAGCTTAAGGACAAAGAGAGATCCAAATAGGAGGGTTTGGTCTTAAAAGGTTGAAGAATGGCTTCAAGTACGCTTAGCTAGAGTTTTCAGTGGGTTTTAGCTTTGTTAGCTAGTTTTTGAGTTTTGGCTTCAAGTGTTTGTGGTCTTGTGTGCTAATGTTGGTTTCTCACCAACACTATGCTCGGTTTCTTTTCTTGTCCTTTTATTTTTATCTTCCTTGTTGATGTTATCTCATATGTAATATGTGTTTTCTTCATTAATAAAAGATTTTCTTTGCTGATTAAAAAAAAAAAAAACAGTTCACTCCTTACAAAACAGAACACTTCACTTAGTGCAAATTCGAAATTAAAACTAAATACCACCATTTACCACTGTTTTTGCTTTTTTGTTTCACACACAACCCCTGGTCTTGGTCAAAGTGAAATACTATACAAATTCTCAGCCAACCGTGGCTTTGCTAGAGCAAGTAGAGGTTTAGCGAGAAGTAGGTCACCCGGAGATTCTTTGAGCCCAATATGTGACACAGTGGGTGGCAAGTTCCATGTGAACCCTTGGAGGAGCCTAGCCATTAACATGGAGGTCATTGTAGACCCTAGTGTAACCCCTGCGCATCCACGCCTTCCGGTGCTGAATGATAACATGCGCAAGTCAGGGTCAGTGATCAATACTTTCGAGCCATCGTCCTTGAGGTGGCGCTCTGGTTTGAACTTGAGTGACTCATTCCAAATTCTAGGGTTTCGGCCAAGTCCAGGGCGGCTTAGCAAGACATGGCTACCTTTCGGGATGAAGAAGTTTCCGACGGTAGTGTCTGAGATGGAAACATGAGGAACGTTGAATGGCGCAATGGGGTGGAGGCGGAAGGCCTCCTTCACGCATGACTTGACATAATTGAGCTGTGAGATATCAGATTCTTGGACTAGTCTCTCCTTCCCTACCACTCTGTCCAGTTCCGCCATGGCTCTTTTTAGGGTTTCAGGTTGATTTAGCATTTCAGCAAGTGCCCATTCCACACCATTTGATGGGTTGTCCACTGTTGCTATCATCAATTCCTGTATACATATTATTTTAGTCATTATAATTTTAATTAATTCAATTTTAACTATGAATTTATAATTTTGGTTCAATTTAGTTTGATTGATTATAATTTTTAATTTTTTTTAGTGAAAAATATACACGTAAGTGACACATGTCACATTTGTATGGGTAAAATTATAAACTTACTCTACTTAATGAATTAACGCATAACCAATTTAATGATCACTTTAAGTTTGTTTGTTTGTTTGTTTGTTTTTTTTTTTTTAAAAAACAAAAAAAAACACTAGTGCATTATCAAAAAACACCTGCACTCCTCTTTTCTTTATTGGTGTAACTTAATTTGTACCTTGTACTTGTTTTCATCAATATAGTTTCTTTTTTGCCGATCAAAAAAAAAAAAGTGGACTAACTTGACGTAAAATTTAAAATTAAAATTTAAAATTGAATCAATTCATTTCAACATATACATGTTTTGGAGACCAAGTTTTGTTTTGTTTTGTTTTTTTTTTTTTCTTCTAAAAGTGTAAATCCTATTGCAAAAAGTATTTAGGGACTAATTAAAATTTGGAAAATATTGTTAATAAATGCATTTTTAGGGACAAAATAAATTGGTTCAAAAAATATTTATTTTTTAGACAAAACTTTTGGTTCCAAAAGTTTAGTAATTAATTACTAAATGTCTAATTTTGCTATTAAAAATAAAATAATAACACTTTTGGCGACAAAAATATTTTGTTTTTAAATTTTTGTCTTTATAATTTTAATTTCTTGTAGTGATTGAAAGTATATAGATCAAAATCACACAAAAAGCAAAATGTAAGAACTATAAATATAATTTGCACTAATTGATGTGTCATAAGTGAAAGAAAAATGTTAGGGATATTAAATATTCTACCAAATGTCTCACATGAGTATGTGACCCAGGGATCCTAAATATTTAACTAAATGTTCTACCAAATGTGGGTGTCATACCCATGTGAGACATTTTGTAAAATATTTGGTAAATTATTTATGGTCTGAGCATTACCCTAAGTGAAAAGTGAAGTGTTATTTATGAATAATAATATAAATCCACCATATCAATTTAGAAATTATTCAAAAATCAATTTTTATCATACCACGATCTGGGCTTTGACCTCCTCCCGTGAGAGCAATGGAGTACCGTCTGTTTGTTTAAGCGTAATGAGGATATCTAGTATGTCCTCTTTCTCTGTCTTCGTACCATCATTCCATTGTTTGATCCTGTCGTCAATCAGAGGATCTTGATATTTCTTTACGCTTGTGGTAGCCTTTCTCATGATCTTCTCATGGCCATCCAAATCAAGAATGCCTCGTATGCATGGTATGTAATCAGAGACACAGAATGAGTAAAGGTAAGAAAGGATAGTGAAAAGCGCATTGACGTGCTCTTCTTCTTCGACACCTGGTCCTCCATCTTCCATTCCCTTCCCGAAAAACCTCTTGTTGAAGATCATCTTCCTTATCACGTTCCCGCAGAAGTGTTGTGCGGCAACCCTTACATTTACCAAACCACCTGTCGCGGAATTCATACACTGGTTGTACACAAAGCGGATAAGGTGATCAGCTTCTTCAACTCTCTTATCATGAAGCCAGTGGTGTCTAGAAGTTGAGAGGACCTCAGAAGTGAGGACTTTTCTCATCTTCTTCCATTGATCTCCCATTGGTGAAAGTGCTGCTGATAAGTATCCTCCGCTTGCAATGTCTGCGGGCAGGCAAACAGGTCTAGAGGCGAAAACAGCGTCTTGTCTCCTCAGGAACTCTCGAGCAATTTCAGGGGAAGTAACTGAGATAACGTGAACATTGCCGAGGCGAATACACATTATCTCAACATTCATTTCCTCCATGAGTTTGTGTATCCATCGGAATGTAGGTTTATTTCTAAGCATTTGTGGGAGGCAACCAATAAAAGGCCATGGTTTTGGCCCTGGAGGAAGCAAGTTTGCATTGATCTTCTCGCGGAAGAAGAGAAAGAAAATCAATGCCAGGAAGAGGAAAGTTGAGCATAAGCTCCAGATAGTGAATGAAATAGCCTCCATCTACAAGTACAACAACTATTTCTCTGATGCTTTGTAATTTGTGGTTCGTTTATGTTGGGCTGAAGAAAGGCTATTTATAGGCAATATTCATTGTAAGTATTGCCGTAGTGTGATGTATATTAATAGGGTAATGCTACTTATCATGAAATAAATAACATGAAAAACATCATGAAACTAATCCAAGGGTGAATGCATAACATACAATAAAATATACAAACACTATAATCTAATCCAAGGGTAGAGAATCTTCATGAAAACTTTTCATGACATTGTTTTCATGATACCTAGCATTATTGATATTAATATGATATGTATGTTGTTCCATTAATAATGTCTCTCTTCTTTTATTGATAAAAAAAATATTAATATAGTGACATTGATATTATTTATGTTAAATCACAATGAAATTATATCAATGATTTAGAAGTAGAAAATGTTATGAATCTTAATTAATTTATTAAATTTTTTTATCAAATTTTTTATATGAGTGTAGGACTTACACAAACTCATAAAAAATTTAATAAATTATTTAAATTCTCTACCATAACTCTTAAAAGTATTGCTAAAGTGAACTTGATAGATATTATTTGGTTGTGATTTAACACAAATAATAGTAATACCACCCTCAGCAATACTTATGATGTACAGTGCCTATAAAATAGGGAAAGGGACTTTGTATTGTGTCAATTTACAACGGAATCCTATCAATGATTTAGAAGTATTGCTAAAATGACATTGGTTATGATTCAGTTGTAATTTAACATAAATAATAACAATGTATAAATTATATGTATAGATTATCTATAAAAAAATCAAATTTATTTTATAATTATAATCATATATTTTATCATAAAATAACAAATCGATCTGATTTTTTTAATGTATAATCTAAACATGTTGGTTTAACATATGAACCGACCTGATTATCAAAATAGGCCGTTTGGAAACAACAAATAAGCGGAGGAGATGTTCCAAGGAAGAGGTAAACACTCTATTTTTCCCCAAAATTTTAATTATCTTTTATAGTTGCTGGTTTTCTTTTATTTTTATTTTTATGTAATATGTGATGTAATCATTATTGTACCCTTATTCTGGAAAGCATTTTGCCATTGGTTTTGTAATTTTCTTTCAATATTTTTTTTTGAATAAATTACCAATAGGTTATACTTTTAGAATTTATTACCTACTAAGTTATGATAAATTTATCAGTCAGGATCTATACGTAAATAAGTTTAGTTAATAAGACTGATTGGTAAGGTGCCGTTTGATAACGCTTATGTTTTCAGTTTTTTGTTTATATTTACAAAAATTTTAAAAACTTGTTTGATAAAATTTTTGATTTATAAATCAGTGGTTTCAGTTTATAAATTTGACCAAAAAATGAAATCACAAAAAATGTGTTTCCGTTTTGAGTTTTGAGTTTTTTTTTTTTTACTACCCAACACTAGCCACCATCCGCCACCATTTTCCACCACCGTCTTCCGCCACCACCTGCCACCACCACTCACCACCCATCTGCCACCACCAGCCATTAGCCACCATTCTGGAAAGCATTTTGCCATTGGTTTTGTAATTTTCTTCCAATATTTTTTGGATAAATTACTAATAGGTTTTACTTTTAGAACTTACTACCCATTATATTAATAAATTTATCAGTCAGGACATGTACGTAAATAAATTCAATTAATAGGACTGATTGGTAAGTGGGGGGGGGAGGTATCCATTTTAGATGAAATTGATTTTTTGGACTTTTATAATAATGCAATGGTAAGCCAAAATTGTCAAAAATGAATATAAAAAAATTATTTCTATGTGAATAGAATCTATTGATATAATCAGAAATAACCTTTTCACATGATATTTAATGGGTCCTACCCACTTCATATGAGAAAATTGTGTTTGATTCTATGATAGAATTTGGTATACTTTGACATTTTTAAAAAAATAAGAAAAATTAGGGAATTTGTTGCAAAAGATTCTAGCAAAGCATTTAAGGCCTTGTTTGGGAAGGGCTGTTTGAGCTAAAATAGCTAATGAAGACAAAATATACTAAAATAATCAGTATGTTAGAATGTCATATCTAACTCATAATCATTTCATTTTTTATCTTATAACTATTAAATCAACAAAGAAAAAAAAATTAACTATATTTTCAAACACAACTTTTTTGAACCTGGCTACAATAATATAAAAGTTAACTAAAATAACGAACTTTCCAGACGAGGCCTATATGTGTATGAAATGTTAGATGCATTACCAAAAGAATCCAAAACCAATTTCATTCAAAGTGAATAAGGATAAAAATATTCCAAAAAAAATTAGAGAAATGCGTTAAGTGGCAGTGTAAAATAACACAATTTAGCACTTAAAATAAAATCAATTAAGTTCATTAGATAATTATAGCGAGTATCAATAAAAATTTTAAGTAACTCTTGAACTGTAGGATAAACGTTAAGAAAATTTTAAATAACAAGAAAAATACTTAATGCGGATATAATTTATAACTATTTATGTATATGTAAAGACATTTATGACCTCATTATTGTCGCCATCACCCCCACCCTACACCACCATCACACGACCACCGCGATTGTTGTTACCACTAACACCTTCCACCACCACTACTATTATTACTATCATCAATTTCACTACCATTACTATCGTCGCCACATGTAAAAAAAAAAAATCTACTTATCAGATATTAATGATGAACCAGTTCTGATGGGAATACTCTATTCCATATCACTTTTCTCCATGTTCTTTCATACATCATTTTTTGGTGAATAATGATAGAGACCCTCAATTTTGGAGACCCCCACAATCCCCCAAAGTGATCCATACCATTCATGTTGTGAGCCACACACATACATGAGTTGTGTAGATCACTTTGGGGGTTGTGGGAGTTCCCAAAATTGAGGGTTTCAAGCATTTTTCTTTTTTGATCACAACTTTAGACAAACAGTCATGATTCAAATTATTCATCTCGTAAATCTCACAATAAGTATTATCTGTACAAAAAATCACCTTTATTGAATATCAATAAATAGATAAACAAATTATATTTTATTTAATAAAATAGACAATTTAAATTTAAATTCATAATAATAGTCCATTATGAAAAATAAAATAAAATATAATTAATTTATCTATCTAATAATGCCGGATGAAATTGATTCTGAGTTTTACTGTTGGACATATGTGGACGCGAGATAGAGACTCATAAAATAAAATATAAAAAACAGTAAAATATAGTGATGTAAAAAGGAGTTGGGTTATGAACCTACATGATTTATTAAATTTTTTTTATCAAATCTCGCAAATGGGTGTGGGATCTACACACATATGTGAATTTGTGTGGATCCTACACGCATATGAAAAATTTAATAAATCATTCGAAATCCATAGCATTTTCCAAAGGAGTTAATTATCTTCCGCTCAAGAACATAGTGATATAGAAAGTAGTATATAGTCTTTATTGAGCACAAAGTTTCAACTTTTTTATTTTTTTAATTTGACTTCTCTCGAATCATCCAATCATCTTTTCGTGACTAACACCATCACTAATGATTATTTAAATCTATTATCAAATTTAAATTTAATAAAAAATCACTCATTTTTCTGCTTTAACGGTTTCAACAAATATGTATCAAATTGAGAATTTTAGTTTTTATTCATCAAACTGAGGACTAATGTGCCTTTTATTAAATTACTGTTCATACCCTTTTGATTTTCACCATCGGATGTCCTCTCGGATGTCCCTCCAAATGACCACCTCAAAATAAAAATTTGTGAAAACATTACACTGACTGGTCGAGCCCTCGATTGTCTGCTCGGTCGACACCCTGGATGACCACCTAAAGGTAAAAGTTTGTGAAAATTTACAATGGCCAGTCGACTAGCTAGACATCAGCCCGGTCATCTGCCTAGTCGACCAGTGTTCTAATTAAGCTTCAAATACTTCCGTTGGAGCAATTGATATTAAATAAAACTTTTATTTAAATTTTTACTCAAATTTAATGAAAAATTTGATACACCATTCGAGATGCTCTAATACTTAATTATCATTTCTGTACATTATATGACAATTATTAAAAAAATCAATAATGATAGAGATCTCCACAAAACACAATCCCAAAATGATATGAACTATTCATGTTTCTGTCAGACACAATTCTCAAAAAAATTTAAACATATCAATAACTAATATATTAGTAGGGATTATAAGAATCTTTTTTGTGGGGATCTCACACATTTTCTTAAAAAAAAAAAAAATTAATTTTTAAATTTTTATATAATAGGTCATGTGTAAGCCGCCGCAAAGGAGTAGACTGTCTTCATCCGAGAAGACTAGTGGACACTTTTTTTCTCATGAAGTTATTAATTAATTTATTTTTAATCTTTTCTATGGTAACTGTAATTACTGTTGTTCCCATATTTTATCAAATAATATTATATGTATCAATTAATATACTAATTAATATATTAATAAATAATGTGATATAATTTTAAAAATTTTGGTATTTATAATTTGTATAACAAGTAGAGTCAATAATAATGACATAACACTAGTTAGTATACTAGTATGTACATTAATTGATACATGTAATACCACTGTATTTTATGGATTGCAGCATTTTGCAATTAGTTCTGTAATCAAAGAAAATTAATGAATTAGATGCAAATTCTTAACAAAGCATTAAATGTAGATAAAAGGTAATTGCATTATGAAAAAAAAAAAAAAACCAATTTCATTTGAAAGGTAGACAAAAAATATCACCAATGCTAAGGATATAGAATAAAAATATAAAAGAATGGTTAAGATTTACTGGGTTTAATTATGTTACCAATAAATACTCTATTTCTATCATTGCACAAAAGATATTCGAATAAAATTAAAAAAGATGCCTTCATCATTATTTAAATGCATTTTGGTTAACTTAATAAATTCTAGCATGAAGCATTAATTATGTAACCGTTTGGGATAGAGTAGTAATTAATAATAGAGTAATGTTAGAGACCCCAAACATTCTACTAAAAGTTTTACCAAATGTCTCACATGGGTGTGGGACCCACACAATGTGGGTCCCATGTGGGTCCCACACCCATGTGAGACATTTGGTAAAACTTTTGGGACCTCTAGCATTTTTGTTAATAATATGAGTAATACTTCAATAAATATATCAAAAATGTTAGAGATCTCAAAATTTTCTGATAACTCACGTGGGTGTGAGACCCACGCTATAATGCTAGAGATCCCAAAAGTTTTACTAAAATTTTTAGTAGAATTTTTGAAATTTCTAATATTTCTCTAAATATATTTATATTATATTTAATTTATCATGTGATATATTATTATATTGACAACAGACATGAATAGTGAACCTACAACTAATGCAATTAAAAATGTGATGATAATGTGATGATAAGTAATTGAATAATGCTACATGCACCAATTAAGATATCAATTAGTATATCAATTGATAACGTGTCATGATTTAAGAGGTCTTTGGTATATGTAATTTGTATCGATTGTGTTACGTGCACAAATTAATGTATACACTAGTGTATACCAACTAGTATTATGCTATTATTACTGACCCCACCTATTATACAAATTGCAAATATCTAAAACCTCTAAAATTATGCCACATCATCTCTTAATATACTAATTAATATATTAATTGGTACATATAGCATTATTCAATTTGTATAATAAGTGGGGTCAATAATAATATCATAACATATATTGGTATACTAGTTAATATACTAATTAGTACATATAATATCACTGTAAGTAATTTTATCAGCACCTTTGACCATGTTTAAATAACATGAATAGTAAAGATGAATGAGAAAAATTTGAGCCTATTCACCGGTAGATGTTTGTTTGCTCTCCTTTTATTTCATTTTTGCCATCAAATCTCAAATTTCTATTCAAATCTTTTAATTAAAATCTAAAACTGTAACAAATTCAAATAAGATTTAAATTAATTAAATCAAGATTTCAAAAACCGATAAATATATTTAATCTTGCAGGATTTTCTACCTAATTAAATCAAGATTTCTAAATTCAAAAATACCTGTGATCTAATGATGTAATCTTTCGACACTTTAAACTTCTCAATTTTGTTCTTCAACATCGTGGATCAATCGATCAATCTTTATTGGGAAATTCATCGTCGCTCAACTAGTAAATTTTTTTGTTTGTTTTGTTTTTGATAAATGGATATCCAGTTCAGTTTACACGCACCTTAACTAATTTCGGGAGACCAATTACACCGTCCATTTGTAAGAGTTTCATTTAAAGCAAACACCTTATATGAACTGACTCCAAAGAGATGATTCCAACTAGTGAGCTCAACTGGTAAATCTTGATCAGTTTTTTCATGGTGTATATAAGATAAAGATGGAGTTATTGAGAGAAAGTGGAAGAGAAAACAGTGTGAAAGGGTTATCGATATATGTATATATATATACACACACGATAGAGAAGAATTGACACTAAGAGATAGCCGAAAGTGAGAGTGAGAGAGATGAAGAAGATAGCAAAATCAAATTTAAAAAATTAAAATACAAGAACCATTTTTTGCCAGTTAAATACGTGTTGGGTGTGATTTTTAATTTCACTAAATCATATTTACTTTTAATTGTAACAGTTAATTTATTGAAAAAAATTAAAAATGGATAGACCAAAAAGAGATTTCAGTGAAAGTGCAAAACTAAAACGAGATATTCATAAAACTACAAAGGTGCTAATGAAACGAGAAATATGTTACGTATTACTGACATGATAAGTTTCGTCAGTCTTATTAAAATTAGATGGGCAAACTTGTACGCTTAAAGATTCGATTGGAAAGGAACTCTCTCTCTAATAGTTTCCAAGTTTAGGGCTTTTCTCCTGCTGGTCTTCATCGAGCTCGTACTCGATCTTGATTTGTTCTCTACCTCAGATCAAAGCATTATCATTCTTCTATTCTCGTCTTCTATCTTCGATCTCTCTATAATCTCTTTCTCTCTCTAACTACTCTGTTCGGATATATATTTGTTCGATCATGGAGATGGAACGTGGTTGAGTCTAAAAATTGAGCTTGAACAGAGTTGTGTGAGGAATGGAGAAAGGAGGATGGATTCCGGTATTGAATCAGAGATGAAGTAAAGGAGGCTAGAGAAAGGAAGCTAATGCAAGATTATTCACGATCTTCGTTGATGATCTACCCAGATCAATGAACTTGACGATGTTGGGGGAAATATTCAGGAAGTTTGGAGTAGTGAAGGATGTCTACATTCCTCTGAAGAGAAGGAGAGTGACAAACACTAGGTTTGCTTTTGTTTGGTATGATTGTGAAGTGGCAGCAGAAGTAGCAGTGTAGAAGGCTAATGGGATATGGGTGGATGATAAGCAACTGGTAGTGAAGCACGCAGATTATGGCAAGAAAGATATGGAAGTCAAAACCCGATATCCTCCTCAAACAAAAGGTTTTCCATATGGTGGAAGGGGTGAGGGCAGTGTATGGAAGCCAGCAGCAGGTGTTCGGACGTATGTAGAGGTCATTAAGAATAGTCATGGTATGGAAAGTGGAATTGTGTCTGTCCAGGCAGAGGAAGTCGGAAACGGGTGGCTATATGAAAGTGTGGTGGTTCGCCTTAAAGTTGAATATGCCAATGTTAATATTAAATATTAATTACAGCAGAGGGGCATGGAGAATGTGGTAGTGAGGGATGGAGGAGGTAGAGATGTGTTGTTAACATTCAAATCTAAGGAGTGTATGGAAGATAGTGTGGGAACTGTGAAGGAATGGATAGGGGATTGGTGCGAGGAAATTGTGATGTGGAATCCTTATGTTCATAGTGGAGGTGAACGTAAGGTGTGGGTCTGCTGTTTTGGGATCCCATGGAGTTTATGAAATAGAACAACTTTAAATAGAATTGGGAAGGTATGGGGGGAGGTTATTTGTATTGAAGGTGATATATGCAGTCCAGAATCGTATGAATATGCTAAGATTCAAATTTTAACAAACTGTATGGAGCCTATTAATAAAGTAATCAATCTGGAGTGCAAAGGGTATTCCCATACTGTGAGAGTGTGGGAACATTTAGCTGGGGTACCACAGATATTGGTTGGGAGGAGTGAGAGCTCTATGGAACATAGAGGGGTAGGAGTTTGCAGTTCAAATAATGGTGAGAAGGTGGGTGTAGAAGATGATGATCGGGATGGTGAGTCAGCTAGGGAGCTGGACCAATTGAAGGAGGTGTGTATTGGGGTTAGACCAGAAAGAGTGAGGTGTAGCAATGAGGTGGAGATGGGGTCACTAAGGCAGTCTGAAACTGTGGTACCAGAGTCTACTGGTAGTGAGCTCGAGGGTATAGTAGATAGCATTATGAAAGTAGCTGGGAGCATAGGCAATGGCTGTGAGTTGGTAGGTCAGAAAAGTAAGGAGCAGTTTGTCATGAAAGGTGCTGGTAAAAGCTTGAGTGGATCTAGTTTGCTCAAATTTGGGGTCCATCTAGAGGTGGTGTTGGGTCGGAGTAATGAGGTGGGCCTAAGTAATGGGCTTGTGGATATGAGGGCAGGGGGGAGACACAAACCCAAGGATCCAAGGCTTTTCAAAGAGGGCTTTAGGTTGAAAAGAGCCTTTTAATGGTATGTTCTAACTTATCCGAATCACAGTGCAACAAATTGAGCTCAAGGAAAAAACTCCAGAAGAATAGAGGGAGGAAGAGAGTAGTAACGAAATCCAGTGGAAAGAAAATCAGAGAGATGAAGCAGGGATATCTTAAGCTTCCAAAAAGCCATAATCATAGAGGAGCATCTTCTAGTAAATTGGGACCGAAAGGTGCTATATGGAGAGCAGCAGCTGCAGCAGCATCAGGTGCAGATTCAACAGCTAGTGGAGTAACTAGAAGCAGATCGTTGCTTAAAGAGGCTCAGGGGACTATTTAGATGGGAAAGTTGTTGGGTATAAACTACAAAGGTAAAGAAGAGGAAGTGTTGACCAAAATCTTGTACCTTGAGGCAAAGGATAGAGCAAGAAGGGGAGGGGATGTAGTTCTTGCGGACTAATAAGATCTTGGGGGGTCAGAGTTCAGTGTAAATGGTTATGATGAAGCTACTAACATGGAATGTCAGAGGTTTGGAGAGAAAGGAAAAAAAAAGTAAAATTAAGAGGTTGTTGAAGGATAGAGGTATTGATATAGCTCTTTTTAAAGAGACAAAGAAGGCCTTCATGTCCGAAAAGGAGATCAAAGAGATTTGGGCTAGGGATAGAATGGAATATACGACTGTGGATGCTGAAGGCTCTGCTGGTGGCCTATTATGCATTTGGGATCCAAGAGTTTTTCAGATGTCAAGTTGCTGCTGTAATAGAAGGTTTGTTCTCTTCTCTGGGTCATTATTCTTTTCTTTTGATTGTGTCTTGATCAATGTGTATGCACCAAATGAAGTGGGCCAAAGAGGTAAACTGTGGAAGTGTCTTCTAAGGTTAAAGGAGGAGTATTCTAAGCCCTGGTATATAGGGGGGACTTTAATGAAATTAGAAAGATTGATGAGAGGAAAGTTTGCTCTAGGAGGGATAAGGGGATGAATGAGTTGAATGATTTTGTGGATAGAAGTAAGTTGAATGATTTGCCTTTATTAGGCCGTAGGTTTACATGGTGTAATGCTACGGAAGGGGAGAAATGAAGCAGAATTGATAGGGTTTTGGTGGATCCAAGATGGGTGGAATCATTTAATTTGAAGTTGTGGGGACTTCCTAGAGTCATGTCTGATCATAGGCCTTTACTGCTTATGGAAGATGAGAGAGATTGGGGCCCTAGGCCCTTTAGGACCAAATGAAGTGGGCCAAAGAGGTAAACTGTGGAAGTGTCTTCTAAGGTTAAAGGAGGAGTATTCTAAGCCCTGGTATATAGGGGGGACTTTAATGAAATTAGAAAGATTGATGAGAGGAAAGTTTGCTCTAGGAGGGATAAGGGGATGAATGAGTTGAATGATTTTGTGGATAGAAGTAAGTTGAATGATTTGCCTTTATTAGGCCGTAGGTTTACATGGTGTAATGCTACGGAAGGGGAGAAATGGAGCAGAATTGATAGGGTTTTGGTGGATCCAAGATGGGTGGAATCATTTAATTTGAAGTTGTGGGGACTTCCTAGAGTCATGTCTGATCATAGGCGTTTACTGCTTATGGAATATGAGAGAGATTGGGGCCCTAGGCCCTTTAGGTTTGTTAATGCTTGGATGTTACACCCAAAATTCTTTCCTTTTGTGGAAAAGTTGTGAAGGGAGCATTAGGTGGAGGGGTGGGCTGGGTTTAGGTTATCCTAGAAACTGAAAGAGTTGAAATTAGCACTCAAAAAGTGGAATAGTGAAGTGTTCGGTAATGTAAATTCTAAGTTGAAGAAGGTCGAGGATGAGCTTCATATGATTGATTTGTTAGCAGAGGAAAGAGAGCTTGAAGAGGCAGAAAAAAGTAGAAGAAGAGAGGCGAGAGTTGAAGCTGGATATTTAACAAGAATGGTGGAAAGATTGTGGTTCCAAAAATCGAGGCTTAATTGGAATTTTTATGGTGATAAAAACACAAAATATTTTCATGTGTTAGTGAAATATAGGCAGGGGAGAAATGAAATCAATACTCTAACTGTTGGTGATGTGGTGGTTGATGATCCTTGTAGGGTCAAGCTTGAGGTCCTAGCTTACTTTCGGAAGCAATACTCTGAGGATTGGCAGAATAGGCCTGTATTGGTAGGTCTATTTAAGTCAGTGAGGGATAGTCCTTGTTTTGATATGCTGGAGGCAGAGTTTATTGAGGCAGAGGCATGGGCTGCTGTCAAGGGTTGTGATGGGAATAGGGCTCCAAGTCCAGATGGTTTTAACTTGGCTTGTATTTAGAAACTGTGGAAGGTAATGAAGTCTGATGTACTGAATTTTGTGTTTGATTTCCATAAGAATTGTAAGTTGGTCAAAGGAATCAATAGCTCTTTCATCACCTTGGTACCTAAAAAGGAGAATCCAGTGGGGTTGGCGGATTATAGACCTATTAGTTTGGTTGGGTCGATGTATAAAATTTTGTCTAAGGTTCTTTCCTCAAGGCTGAAGGCAGTGATTCCTCAGATCGTAAATGAAAACCAATCAGCTTTTATTGGAGGGAGGAATATTCTGGATGGTGTTTTGGTGGCCAATGAGGTTGTTGACAGTTGGAAGAAATCTAGAAGGAAAGGAGTGATTATTAAGTTAGATTTTCAGAAAGCCTATGATTCATTGAATTGGGATTTCTTACTCTCCATGTTGGTTAATTTTGGGTTTGAGGGAAAATGGGTGGAGTGGATTAAGGTATGTATTACCTCAGCTAGGCTTTCGATGCTTGTCAATGGATCTCCTACTGAGGAGTTCAGTCCACAGAGAGGACTGAGATAAGGGGATTCCTTGTCTCCATTCTTGTTTATCATAGCTGTAGAGTGCTTAAGCATTTTGTTCAATAGAGCTTTGGATCTGGGGCTGATAAAGGGGGTTAAGATTGGCTTTGATGGGTTAGTCCTTACTCATCTCCAGTTTGTAGATGATTCTTTGTTATTGTGTGAAATTGATGTAATGGAGATGAAGAATGTAAAAAAGATTCTGAGGTGCTTTGAGTTGATATCAGGGTTAAAGATAAATTACCATAAAAGTGTAATTAGTGGTGTGGGTATTCTAGAAGAGGAAATGTCTGAGTACGCATTAGTGATGAACTGTGAAGTTAAATGTTTGTCGTTCAAATACCTCGGTTTACCGCTGGGGGCTAACCTAAGTAGGAAAGCAACTTGGCGGCCTATACTAGACAAATTCAGAAGCAAACTAGCTGGTTGGAAAAGGAAACTGCTGTCATTTGCTGGGAGGCTTGTTTTAATCAAATCTGTCATGTCCTCGCTGCGTATATATTATATGTCATTGTTTAGTTGCCACAGGGGATTGCCAAAGAATTGGACAAGCTTCAAGCTTCCTTTCTGTGGGGGGGATCTGAATTGAAGAGGAGGGTTCATCTAGTAAAATGGAAGGAAGTGGCGAAGCTTGTAGACCAAGGGGGCTTAGGGGTTAGGAGAGTGGATGAAGTGAATAGTTGCCTTCTGTTGAAATGGTGGTGGGGGTTTGGCGTGGAAAATAAAGCTTTGTGGAGAAGAGTTTTGAGCAGTAAATATAGGATTGAGGAGGGGAGTTGGAGCCCTCAAGTAATCTCTAATGTGAGATGTTCTAAAATGTGGAAGGATATATTATTATAATCTGTACAGAGTAGCAGTCTAGTGGCTATTTTTCTGGACAATTGTAAGGTGAAAGCGGGTAATGGTCATAGAATCAAGTTTTGGAAGGATAAGTGGTGTGAAAACTTGAGCCTTAAAGATGCATTTCCACTGTTGTACAGGGTAATAGTTGATAAGAGAGTGACTTTATCTGATATGATGATCAGGAAGGAGGAAGCTGGTGAATGGTCATTTTAGTTTAGAAAGGCGCTGTTTGACTGGGAAATAGTGGAATTAATCAGATTGGTGAGTCAGATTGAGGCAGGTCCTAATCTTAGGTGTTGCTCAGAAGATACTCTTGTCTGGAAAGCCTCGGAATCTGGAAGTTATTCAGTTCAATCTATGTATAAGCTCTTGGTTGAGGGATCCAGTAATAGCAGCATAGTTAGCAAAAGGATTTGGGTTAAACATATCCCACATAGAGTTCAATTTTTTGGATGGCTTGCTTGGAAAGGAAAACTAAAGATGGCTGAGTTTCTGCACAGGATTGGTGTTCTGCCTGCTGGTGCATCTGTAGAATGTTGTCTATGTAAATCTGGAACTGAGTCTCTCATACATGTGCTTCTATTATGTCTAGTGGCTTGGAGAGTGTGGTATGAAATGATTAGATGGTGGAAGATTCAAGGAGCACTGCCAGCCTCAGTGGAGGACATGCTTCAATGGTGGGCAGGGGTGGGTCTTAATAAAAAGGAAAGGATGATGTGTAACGCCCTTCCTCTTGTAGTGATGTGGTCTCTATGGAAACATCGGAATGAATGTTTATTTTAGGAGGTTGTCCCAAGTGTGGATGGAATTACGGATCTGATTAAGTTAAAAATGGCTGTGTGGTTTAAGGAAGTATTTAAGGAACATATGCTGTCAGTTCATGATTTCATATTTAATCTATAAGGTATCAGATTCAGTTTGGGAGGTGGGTTTAGAGAGTGAAGTATATGAGGAGGCCTATTTTTTCCTACCAGTCCTTCTGCAGAAACTCTCGATTGGCATGCTAGGCAGCAGAGTTTTGTCTCAATCTGTGCAGTATAGTCTCTACTGTGTGTAAGGAAGTTCTGCCTCTGTTTATGCAGCTAGAATGTGCCTGACATTAGTTTTGCAGTTTAGTCTCCATGTTCTGGTGTTGGTTGGATTTATGGTAGCTCTCAAACTGTTTTTGGCTAGTTTTGCTGATTCAGATGAAGGTTTGTTTGCTGCAATTTTGATGGTCAGCTGCAATGTAGATAGTCAGCTTACAGGTTTAGTTTAGTTCTGCTTCAGGTTTGGGTGCTAAGTGGTGGGCAACCTGTTGGGGTGTGCAATCTGCCTTTTTTGGTGTATGCTACTAGATTGCTCTCATGCTATGTATCTTGTTTCTGTTTTCTTTGGTTTTCCACTGTGTTGGATTCTCTCCAACTGGAACTCCGAGCTTAGTGCAGCTCCGAGCTCCTCTTTATTGATGTACTCGTTTTTGATTTCATCAATAAAGATTTCTTCTTGCTAATCAAAAAAAAAAAAAAAGATGGGCAAACTTGCACAATTGACTTAAAATATAAAAGATTGATTGTCACAACCGAAAGTGAAAGGGCTAATGTGTGATTTTGGTAAATGTATGCAGTGCTAAATGTAATTAACCCATAAAAACTATTTTTAAAATTTTTCTGTAATAAAATTTTTTATTGGATTAAATACACTTTAGTACCCTTATAATTTCACTAAAATCTCATTTTGGTCATTTTAATTTTAATTATGATAGTCAATTTTGCACTTTAAATTAAGTTGCAAGATAGTTATTTATTCATTTGTCTTTTAAGATGGTAGGTAGTTTTTTATTGGGTAATTTTTTGATAAATTCTCTTTTTAAATGTTTTATTCCATCTAATTCATATTCTTTTTTAGTTTTCCATTAAATATTGTTTAATGTAATATGACCAAATTATCCTTTCTAATTTTTTGCACATGTTTCTATTTTGAAACTAATACATAACAATAGTCCCTCATTTTATGGAGAAAATCTCTCCTTCATTCTAAAGAGAAAATCTTTCTTTTATTCCATGGAGAAAATCTCAAATTATGAATTTAGAACCTTTTTATAATTTGAAAATTTTAAAAATGACCCAACAAAAAATCTAAATAAAAATCAAAATATAATGTGAATGTTCACAGTAAACAACAAACATACAACTAATTTGTGGCATTATTGGCCTTCTTCCAACCCTCTACAACCTCATTAGTTTCTTTTATTCCATGGAGAAAATCTCAAATTATGAATTTAGAACCTTTTTATAATTTGAAAATTTTAAAAATGACCCAACAAAAAATCTAAATAAAAATCAAAATATAATGTGAATGTTCACAGTAAACAACAAACATACAACTAACTTTTGGAAAAACAAAACACATTAAAGTACAATGTAAATGTTCACAATAAATAACAAACATACAACTAACCTTTGAAAAAATAAAATTCATACCAAAATACAACGTGAATGCTCACAATTTATAATAAACATACAACTAGCCTTAAAAAAAATTTCATACAAATGTAAACATTTACATTGCAACATGAAAATATAAAACAAAATTGAAAAAAATGAAAATCGACTATTTCAATTGTTTAATGGTAACAAAAATGATTGTTCAACTAATAAACATAATAACAAAAACAACAAACACTACAACATTTTCTTAGTTCAGTGACACTTGAAAGTGACACTAAACTATTCTTTCAGTGACATTTTTTAGTCTTGTAGTGTTTTGAACAAGTGTCATTTATACATATGCCACGGTAGATACTAGTGGCATCTTAATGACACTTGCAAATGCCACTACACCATTATGGCTAAAGATTTTCAATGACATTTTGATGTTGTGATAGACACTATTTGTGGCACTATCAAGTGCCATTAAAAAAAGATTTAGTGATACTTGTAAGTGCCATTACACCATAAAGGCTAAAGACTTTCAGTGACACCTTGATGTCATGGTAGACACTATTCGTGAGGCTATTAAGTGCCATTGGAGAAGACCTACAATCAAAAAAATGCCACTATATGAATTTTTAATGGCGCTTATTATGCCACAATTGTTATTTTTAACAACTTTATAAATGTCACTAAATCCAATTCATTTGTGCCATAAATGGATATAAGTGTCATTGAAGCTTATTCTAGTGACACTTTGCAAAGCTATTACTACTATTACGAAATGCCACCTATATGTTTTTTTCATTGACACTTTTAAAAGCCACAATTAAGCATGCGTAAATGCCTGTAAAAATTATGTCAATTTTATAAAAAAATTAAATATTAATTGTTACGTCCTATATTAATTTGACATCTAATATTTCCATAATAATAAACAAATATTACCACCATAAGATCATCACATCAAAAACAAACAAAAAAATTCAAATCACAATCATTTTTTTTTTATCTAAAAATATAAATTTATTTATAGTGCAATAAAAATCATAATTAAAATTATAAAATATTCTACCACACTAACAAGGTTAAAGCAAAAAAAAAAAAAAAAAAAATTATTCGAAACATAAGTTCTGAAAAGCCATAGTTATATTCATTTTTCAAAGAGTCAAATTATCAAAACAAATTCAATTCCCAAATTCTCAACATCACTTGTATAAAT